AAATATATTTATCCATATAATTAATTATATAAAATAACTTTATACATAATTAATTATAATATACAATAAATAGTTACAACGTTGTAATACATAAATACAAACATAAAAATGAAATGTATATTATAAATCTAAGTAATTTTTAATTATTTATTAATTTCTCAAATATCATATATATATTATAGATTTCATTTTATATACATTTTAATTTCACGTGCTTAATCATCATTTTCTTTTATCACTACACTTCATCTAATTATTATCACTACATTTATATTTAAACAAATTAAATCATTAATTTTAATCTTACTACTACATAAATTAATCTCATCACTATCATTATTTTTAATCTCATTATAATCAATTTCACCTCTCATCTATATAGCCCCTAATAAATAGATGCATAATAAAATTATGTCTGCATATCACTTGTAAAAAATATCATGGCAAAAGAGGACAAAAAAAAGCCAGGGCCTTGTTTGGTTCAAGAAAAGAATATGAAAGAAGAGTGAATTTGAATAATAAAATTAAAGAAAAAAATTGAAAGAAGAGAAAAGAAAAGAAATTTCTTTATCTTTTTGGATAGATCAAGGAAAATAAGAAGAAAAGTATTCAATTTTAATTATTTATTACCCAATAACAAAGCAAAAGAAAAAAAAAAACCTTAAAATCATTTATTAGGTGTAAATTGTTAGTTTTTATCTTTAATTTTTGAGCATTCTATCATTTTATAATTGCTAATAGAAAAATTATCACACCCATTGTTAATGAAGATTTTAGATTTTACCAGTCATTGAGAGTAATAGAATGACTTAAAATATATTAAAAAATAATGAGATATTTGATGATATTTTAATATAATTTGTAAAATGTAATATCTAGAAAACAAACTCTACCTTAGAATGAAGACTAATAAACACCCTTCCAAGTTTATGTTAAGTCAATGTTAAAGCGAAATGCAAAGTAGTTTTCAATTAATCTATACCAACCTTAATTGCTAAGTTATCTACACATTTCTTCCAAACGCAAGCAAACATTGATAGGTCTCTCCTGCCAAAGTCTTTGAAAATTTTGCAGACTTTAATATTAATTCTTTGTCTATCCATCATCCGATTGATCGACGTCGTAATGAATTGTTAACGAAGATTATTGGCAGGTGCGATTGCGCGAGAGTCGGACGATTTTTGTCCCATTCCCGAGGGACCACCAAGAAAATCGCACATTCACGCATGACAATCAAAAGAAGCAATTGATTTTAGCTGGGGTCAGATGGAATATTGCCAAACTAAATATTATCTTCAAATCACAAGGGAATACGCAAAGTTTACGTCTAGTGGATCCCATTTGAAAACCATAACAGAAAATGGATTTCATAATGGAAGGTGATGCGGACATTCTTATGGTCTGATATGTATGATTTGTACAGTTACTAGAATGTTAGATTTTTATTTTGAGTAATTAAAATTTAAATTTTGATAATTTTAATTTTAAATAATAATGATGATGATGATGATGATAATGATCAAAATTAAAATATTATATACGGTGTACTTGAAAAAAAAAAGTCCAAAGTAGGGTTTGGTACGGAGTCATATATGACAGAATCCAAGGTGATTTGTCATTAGTGATTCAATATTAATCATATTTTTTAGAAAATTAATGCTGTTAAGTGATAGTGATATAGATTTTGTCTAGCTAGAATGAGTAAAAGATTGTTTTATGTTGATTTATAAAGCTTTCTAGTAAGCTTTTACCATTTCCACGAAAATTTGCTTCTCAAAATTTGTTTTTATAAAGCAACTACTTCATTATTCCATTGATTCTCTATCGAGATGGTAACATTTTGTGACTTGGTGATCAGTTCAATAGTTCATTTATACTTTATATGTAAATAAACTTTGGCTTAAATAAAAAAAAATCATAAATTATAATTAAAAAATTATTCATGCCTCTATCTTTTTACTATAATCAATTGACTTCTGAAGTATCCATTTTGAATAAAAATTGTCCAATAAACAATACTGGTTAATTTTTTTTATAAAAAATTATCATGTAATCTGACATGCGAAAAAATATTTTTCTATGTGGTATTTTCAAAAAAAAAAAGAAAAAGCACGTCAAATAAAATATTTTTTTTATTTTTTCTCTCAGCTTTCTATTCCAATGTGGTATTTTTAGAAGTCTCTTTTTTCACAAAAGCCACATGGCATGCCAATTAGCAATTTTTATGAGAAGACCAATGGTGTTACCTATGTGGCAATTTCAATCCAAATAAAAAGAATTGATTGTAAGTAAATATTTGAGTATTCAATTGATTATAATAGAAAAATAAGTACTTGTATGATTTTTTAATTATAATTTAGGGTTTATATATTTAAGAGGAAATTTTATATGCCACCACTTTTTCCTCTTTACAAAAAAAGAAAAAAGAAAAATTCAATTCTATCAAATTTTAAACACATTCTAAAAAATTTTCTCAAGACGATCAATTGAATTATATTAGCATTTACATTTCTGCTCTCATAGCTAAAATCACAATCTCTCTCTCGATTCACATGATAGATAAGAGTTTTAAAATATGAAATTAATAAAAACCGGATGTTAATTTCTAAAAATAAAATTTTTTAATATGCATTTTTGTATTTCAAATAAACATATAATATGCAATCTACGAATTTGCATTTTCAAAAATTATCTATATATATACATAATTTCATTTTCATAAGTTACCTATCTAGAAATACATATTTAGAATAAGCAATTTTTTCTGAATTTCACCTAAAATCTCAAATTGGAACGCTTACTTGATTGTTTTCCCCACAACCTTCATCATGACAGGTTTTGTTTTTGCATTCCACCTTCATTTTTGGCGTCCTCTAACTAAAGATAGTGTTTGATATGAGAGGATCACTAAAAAATTATGATTATTAAATTATTATATTTGGTATACATTCAATAATTTTATATGACAGTGATTTTGGATCAACTAGACTGATCAAATCACTATTGTAAAGGGTGATCTAATTCTCATCTAAAAGGGTAAAAAACCTTTTAGCATCAAGGTAAAATAATATGTAAAATTAATAATAGTGGATGTTACCCATTTAATATGTAAATTAAAAATTTACTTCTTTTTAAAGTTGTAATTATTTTCTATTATAAATTTTTATATTTTGCAAACTAATATTCATTGTAACAAGTTCAAAAATAATTTATATATTTTTTATTTTTTAATATTTTATATATAATACAATCTTTTTTTCTTTTATTATAAATTTAATAAGTTAGTTTTATTTTCTAATTCAAATTTTTACATAATTTAAATTATAAAAAATTAGTTTACATATTAATAAATATATTTATTAATTTAATAATTTAATAATATTTTATTATAAAATAAATATAATATTATAATATTTTACAAATTATTATCTTTAAACAACAATAACTTGCTTAAATTATATTTTACAAGTGATGTCAAAATTTCATGAAAATTCCTCGAAAAGGGATCATAACTCATTGAAAGGAGCATTAAATAAAACAACAGAATTTGAACACTTTTTTTTTTTAAATAAAGGTTTTCAAAGATTTGAAAGTTTCAATGTTTCATCAAGTTAGGTTTTGTTTATTTACTTAGTGATACACGTTTTTATAACAGTTAAAAGAGTTTTAATTTGTGTTACTTGCTTCAATACTTTTAAATATGAAATGTTTGACAAAAAAAAAAAAAGAAAAAGGTTTTGGATTTTAGACTCCTATATAAAGGGCCTCAAGAAATCTCTCAAATCTCAAAGGGCGAGGCGGTGTTTCTGTGTATCTGTTTCATGGCTGCAAGAAAGGAATTTGCACCGAAAGTTTCTCACCAGTGTTGAGGGGGTTTCATTTTCTTGCTTTGGTTTGTTTCTTTTCGTTTATGATGAATCTCACTTAGCTTAATTTGCTCTCAACTCTGTTTGCTATACCAATACTATTGAAAGATAAGGAAAAAGGATTAGGGAAGAATTACAACGATAGGGATGGCGCAGTGCATACAGAGAGCTGACAGCAAAATCAACCGCGGCGAGCTTGAAGCAAAATCCTGCCGACCTTAAACTGTAAATATGACTTACCAGAAAGATTAACAAACAATGGCGATATGCAGTGATCTGGGTCATATTCAGTTCAAGGTCTCCGAGTTTTGCATTTGAGTTTGTTGTGGTTCATTTCTGCGATCAGCTCTGTTTGCACTGCTCTTTGATCATTTCATTTCCTTATCCTTTTTCTTCTTAATTATCATTAAATGGCAAACAGAAAGGAAGATTCTTCGGAAACGAATTAAAAATTGAAAGCAACAAAATCTTGTTCTAAGGATTTACCGGAAACTCAATTTTAATTTTCAATGAATGTTTCTGTGTTGGAACTTTCGGTTCACTTTCCTTTCATGCAAACATGAAAGAATCTTTATCTTGTGTCCTGCAAATTTAGTCAGCAAATTCCAAAGAGAAGAACACATGAAGAAGTTCCAATCATCGAAATTTTAGTAAGTGTAAGGAACTAAGAATCAATGGTTCTTTTTCTCTTTCTCTGTTATCCCTCATTGTTATTACTATTAGTGTTGGACATCGGCTTCACCGGATGTATTAAATTAATTTTTAGTATTTTATTTCATTAATTTTGATCAAATTAAAATTTAAAAAATTTAATATAAAATTAATATTGTTAAATATAGAAAGGTTTGTGAAAATAATTGACAACAAAAAGTTAATATAAAACTAAATAGAAAATGTTAGATCTGCATTTTAAAGTTATAAAGTTCCAAAAAAATGTGTTATTCTTTTTTTTAAATAATTTTTATTGGATATTTTATATAATTTTATAATTTATTGAAAAAAATTTATAAAAAAAGTTGTTATAATAATTTGAAGATTATTTTTAAGCTTTTAGGTTATTTTGTATAGTAATAAAATATTTTATTATGTAAATTATTAAAACTTAATTCTGAAAAAAAAAATTTATTCATTTATTATAGAGTGAATATATTTTTGGTAAAAAAAGTTCCAATAATAATATCAGTAGCTGTTAATGAAACAAATAACAAAAAAGAATCTCATAACCAAATCTCTGCTTGAATAAATAATAGAAGAAGAAAAAGAGGAAGAGGTGGTAAGAAATTTGAAGAAAGAGATGTTTGTATGAGACTTGTTTCTAAGCAAGACTAGATTCATCTTAAAATCATAAATACATGGGTTCCATACCATATCACTATTTGTAGGTACACTTTCCACAATTATCTTGCCACCAAAAAAACCATGAGAGGTGCCATAGAACTATCCCAATCCCAAGTTTCCTACATTATTAGAATGCATTTAATTAAGCATTTTTCATGTCTTGGTCTTAAGAAGTAAAAAGTGCAATTGTTGAACCAACAGGTAAGAGGTAACATAGGATACCTTACCTTTATTATAATACGAAATAAAAATATGCCAACAAAAACAAAGTTCAAAATTCCAGGTAATCTTTACTTTTAATGATTTAATATACTATTTTTCACCAAGATCATTGTGAGGTTTTAAGGAAACCTGTAAAGGGGGATTATTTCCTCCTCAATATCGTGAAACCATAACAACCACTCTATTTGTGCAGCAGGGATGAGATGAACAGCATGTGCCCTTCTTATAGTTTCAGGGTTAGTTTCAAATAAACCAATGTATTTTATTTTTCCCTCTTCCATCAATTTCTTGAGTTCTACCGTCTATGATAGAAAGAATAAACACAAATTGCTTAGTTCTAAGTTCAAGCAGCTAAATATCATAGTACCATAACGAGAATTTAAACCAAGGAAAATATAGGATGCTTTTTACTATAGCACTTAGAGTATTTTCTATTGATATTGTGGTGTTGACTTTATGTTGATAGTAAATATCAAAGAATTTGACATCAAGGCGCTTCAGGCTAGCCTCCAAAAAGGCATGAACATATTCAGGTGAACCATCTATTACTAAACCAATAAAATCCATTTTTGTAATACCAAAATTTATGGCTAACTATATTTTCTCTCATGCTAACTGCTTCAATGCCTGAAAATATTGGTTTTCTAAATCATGAATTACTTTAATAAAAAGCCATTTGCTTAAACTCATTTAAAAGAAAAATCAAGAAACTATTGGGACTTGGAATTCATCCTGAAAGTTTACAACAGAACTTTATGTGCAAGCATGTTACCTTTCCAACCAATATTTCATTAGTTTTGGTTTCATAGATGTCTGATGTATCAAATAAAGTGATTCTTTTGTCGAATACATGTTTGATGATTGATAAGCCAACATCTTCAAAGACAAGATCATTGTACATTCTTGTAAGTCCTATATAGCCAAACCCTAACTTGAAAACCTACAGAATGATAGACTTTACAACAAAAATGGGTCTATAGATTTTGATGTATAAAAAAAAGTGATTCCTTTATCGAATGCATGCTTGATGATTGATAAGCCAACATCTTCAAAGACAGGATCATTGTACATTCGTGTAAGTCCCATATAGCTAAACCCTAACTTGGAAACCTATAGAATGATAAAGTTTGCAATAGAAATGAGATAGGAAGATGCTGTTTTTGGTATAAAAATAATGTAAATTTGATTGAAAGTTAAATTCTAATTGAGTTAAAAATGTTTGTAAGAAAAATGTAACAAAAAAAAAGATTAGGAACAACTACAAAAGTTATCAAAATTGAAAGCCTATTAGCTCATAAACATTGCCATACAACCTCTTCTTGAGTACTCTCAGAAGAATAAATCTTACCTCAAATTCTTGAGTTCCTAGTTTCACTTTAGGAATTTTAACTCTCTACTGCATTTTTAGCCATGTTTTCTTTTTTGTTATTTAATCAATACTTCACTCAGTGCATAATAACTAAAAGTTGTAGGAGATAGATGAGTGTAATTGATTTTTATGGTGTATATATACTTGCTGAAACAAAAAAAAACAAAAAACCAATAAAAAATAAAATGACAAATTCATTCCACTTGTTAAGCATTTAATTTAAAACCAATTGGCTATATTAAGCATCTAACTTAAAACCAACTGGCCGTAAGTGAAGGGACCTAATTTGAATATAAGACTACAAAATATTGGATATTTATTAGATGTGGGATAACACCACTGTAATAGGCCCCTATTACGTGTAGGCAGAGATGAAAGAAACCTACCACATGATAGATTTGGAAAAGGCAATGGAAAGAAATCCAAGCTTTGATACCATATTAAGCATCCAACTTAAAACCAATTGACAGTAAATAAAGGGGTGCAATTTGAATATAAGACTACAGAAAATTAAATATTCATTAGATGTGGGATAACACTATATTATCAAGCCCCCATTATATGTAGACGAAGATGAAATGCCTACTACGTAATAGATTTGGAAAGGGCAACAGAAAGAACTTCTAACTCTAATACCATGTTAAGCAATACAAGATATTATATATTTATTAGATGTAGATAACACCACTGTAACAGGCCTTTATCACGTATAAACGAAGTTAGAAGAAGCCTACCATATGATAGATTTGAAAAGGGTAATGAAAAAAAATTCTAGCTCTGATACCATATTAAGTATCCAACTTAAAACTAATTAGCAGTAAGTGAAGGGACACAATTTGAATATAAGACTATAAAAAATTACATATTCATTAGATGTGGGATAGCATCACATTAACAGGTCCTATCACGTGTAAGCGGAGATGGAACGCCAACTACATAATAGGTTTGAAAAGGGCAACAGAAAAAACTTTTAACTTTGATATCATATTAAATATCCATCTTAAAATCAATTGGCAATAAATGGATAGGCTTAACTTGAATATAAGACTATAGGAAATTAGATATTTATTAAATGTGGGATAATACCATACTAACACAAAACAACATGTAAAACAAAATACTCTTAAAAAAGATATAAATTATGCATTGCAAAATTATGTTTTTATAAACAATCCAATTTTCATCCAACATTAAAACATGTAAAGAGAAACTATTCCAAAAAAAAAAAAAATACATTCACAACAACATGCGAACCTGAAAATTACAAAACTCAAACCCTAATAACAAAATCATCCTAAAGAAACCTAAAAAAGAAAAATAAAACTCACATTCAATTAAATAATGAAAAATAACCATAGATTTTATCCAAAAATAGCTGAAAAAAATAAAGGAAAAAACCTAAGAAGCCTTTCTTCATACCAAAAGCTCCACTCTTTGAAATGTAATAAAAACCTAAAAAAGAACCTTTAAAATTGTAGTTAAAACACAGGTGTTAACGATAAAACAATAATAGAAAACATAAATTATGTACTACAAAACTTTGTTCCTATAAACAACAATCTTATCGTCATCCAACATCACAACATGCAAAGAGAAATTCTTAAAAAAATAAAAAATGCATTCACAACAACATGCAAACCTCAGAACCACAAAACCCAAACCCTATTTAACAATCCAACTCCATTAAACAAAATCAAAATGTGTAATAGCAAAATCATCCCAAGGAAACCCCAAAAAAACAAAACCCACATTCAATTAAACAATGAAAAATAGCCACAGATTTTACCAAAACATAACTTACAAAAAGGAAAAAACCTGAAACGCTTCTCTTTTACATCAAAAGCTCAATTATCTAAAGTAGCAATAAAAATCCAAAAAATACTCTTTAAAATTACAGTTAAAATATAGGTGTCAAAAACAAAACAATAAAAGAAGGCACATGTATCCTCTTAAAGGATTGTCTAGTAAAAACCCAACTTGGTTTTAGTGAAACAACAAAAAATTGTAAAAGAATCCAAAAAAAGAGTACATGTGTCATTCCCAAATCCCTTAGGGGATACTTTTTATGTAAGGGTGTATTGATATTATTATTATTATTATTATTATTATTAAATATATAAAAAAGCTCTAATCATCAAAATTTTAGTACTACTAAGTGTAAGAAACTAAGAATCAATGGTTCTTTTTCTCTTTCAATGTTCTCATTATTATGATTATGATTATTATTATTATTATTATTATAAGAAGTTCATAATAGGTAAATGTCTCCTAAATTCAACCAAAATAACTGTTAAGGGTATTTTTTGTCTAAAGGGTAAAATAGTCTTTTCCTTCATTAGAGATTGTTAGTAGACAGTCAAAGATATTTTTTATTTTTAAGCTGACCTGATATTACAGTACCACATCAGCTCAACCACATCATCAATTTATCTAGTAAACCCTTCACTTTTCATCTATAAATAAGGTCATCTCGATACTATCTAATCATCTCGCTTTCTTTTTCTTTCCCTCTATTTTACTCTTCTTCTAACCTCTTATAATCGACCACTAACTTAAACGTTGAAGTACAAGTGCAGGGAACACTCTCTACTTTTACCTTTAGTTTTTTTTTCTCTCTCTCTTATGATTTCAGGGTTTTACCTCTTAAGTCAAAGCTTAGCACAAACATTTGACATGCCAATTAAGGCTATATACATTATTTAACCGAGCTAAACAATATGTCACTAAAAAAGAGAGTTCCTAAGGAAGAAGAATCAACTATTCCTATTAGTATTGAGACCTATGCCAACCAATCTATAGACCGACCTACGCATGTGCAAGCTGGACCAATCATGAAATAATTCCAAGCCTTAAATAATGAAATCCAGTTCCTTCAACAATTGTTTTGAAATATAACCCCACCACAAACCTCTAACGTACCCGACATAGTCACCCTTAATAGATAACCAATAAAAAGACAGCCAAGCTATAAGAATGTTGAAGCCTCTTTAGCCTAAAAAAGAGAAGAACATACCATTTCAGCAACCTATCACCATTACCTCATCCATAACTCCATTCATGCCACTACCTAAAAATCTAAATAAAGACCTATAAGCCATGATGCAAGCTATAGAAAAAAATTGAAAGAAAAGGCCATTGCATTTACAAACGAGCTAAGGTTCCTGTAAACCTCACTCTTCACTGAAGAAATGATTGAATCATCCCTCTCAAGGGGTTTAAGATGTCATTCTTGAAAATTTATGATAGTACAACTGACTCTTTTGATCATTTGAAACTTTATAGAGGTAACATGATGATACAATAAGCAAATAAGGCTATCATGTGTAAAGTTTTACCAATGACACTAAAAAAGGTAGCTTAGTCTTGATATTATCTTCTAAAATTGATGTTCATTACCACATTTAACAAGCTCAGTCATACTTTTTGTCTAATTTTGTTAGCAGCAGGAGAATAAAAAAATAACACCCAGTCTAATGTCCATCTACCAGGGTAGAAACGAGTCTCTAAAAGACTATATAACATGTTTTAACACATAAATCCTCCAAGTAAAAGAATTAGAATAGACCATTGTAGTTGCCACTATCAAATATTAAAAAAATCATCAAAAAAATATAATAATAATTTTATAATTTTTAAAAGTATTTATTAAATAATTTTATAAAAAAGTAAAGGAAACAAAGTAAAACCCAATAAATAACATGTGATAATAAAAGAAGACGAGACTGTAAACAACACATCATTCAAATGTGTTTTAAAAGAATAAAAAAAATCTTAATTTTTTTTTAAAAAGGTAAAAAGGAAATGCAAAAAAAATAATAATAATAAAAGAATTTGGTATAAGTGAATCTCACGATGATAAAAATATAATTTTTGCAAACATAATTTTTATAATTTTAAAGTTTTTTTTAAAAAGTAAAAAACAAACTCAAAATAATCATAATAAAAGACAACCAAGACTTGACATGTGACAAAATTAGGAACTCCGTACATTAATAAAATTAATCTTATAGATATGACATGAAACTAACGAATTTTATTAATTTTTGGATCAAAGAAAATGAATGAACAAACTACCGCAAGGTCACTCACGACAGCCTCTTGTTGATCGCACGCTTTGAGGCTTCATCACTCGTTAGACTCAATATTTATTCCCGAAATAATGACAACATTTTAGCTACAAGAAATTTGAAACAAAAAATAAAAAAAGGCATCCAATAAAGATGAATTGCGTAGGTTAACAAAAAAATGCAACTAAATGGATTTAACTAATCCCAAATGTCTAGCCTAGGAGCCCTTGGCTTAATCCGCAGGAGGAAATCCTAAATCTTAAAAGTCTAAAATTTAGTTTTATTTGTGTGTGAATTTAGTTGTTTAGTTAAGTTTAATAATTTATTAAATTGAATTATCTAGTGAATGTAATAATTTATTAATATGAATGTTACTTGATTATGTTTGATTATGAGTGTCTTAAAAAAAAAAAAAAAAAAAACCCTATGTTTAAGTCTCATGTTTATGTGATTGATAATATCTTGATGAGTTCATCATGCGGATAAGATCTCATTGGTTTCCAATAGGAGCACTGTGTATATAAAGTATAGCCCTTCATAGGAATTCTCTAATTGTTATCCAAATCATAACAAGTTCTGCTCGCGCACGTTGTAAATTTAAGGTCAATTCTCCTTTTAATGCAAGTACAAATATGGATATCTTCTCTTTGTTTTTTCATGTAATTTCTGGGTTTGGCAGTGAGAGAGTTTTGTGCTTGGTATGGAGGGATGATAAAATCTGCTTGGGTTTCTCTATTTTCCCAACCAAGAAAAAACATGCATGCCATGCACTTGATTAAATTTAAACATGCTTGGAATCTGATCCATATGGTGTTTTTATTTCATTTTGGAGTCTTTTAAATAAAAATACGTTTACTTTCTGACAGAATCGAGATTCGAGAGAGAAAAACTGCATCTAATTATGGCCAGAAGAAGGAAAATTGAACCTAAAGTTACTAAAAAGGACCATGGGATGAAGAAAAGGAAGCTTGGTTTGGTAACCAAATTGTTTTCTAAAACCCTCAAGGCATTAATTATTTTCTATGCTTTTCCTTGATTTTGTATACCGGAAAATCTAACTTTGCAGTGTTAATATGTCGTCCATGTCTATGTCCATGATTAAAGAAGAAGGAGAAGGAGAAAGTAAAATACTGGTCAGGGGTGATAGCAGAGGTGGAGGCTGTGCAAATAGAGCGGATAGAGGACATGGGCGGCAATTCAAACCGAGAAGACCTGCTTCTGAAATGCCACCAACTCAGGGGCGTCAACATTCAGTGGGCACAGCTAAATGCTATGATCCAAAACTACATTGACGGGATGCTTGGATTTTTGGTGGCTGATGAAGACAAAGGCAGTTGATATAATAGTTGCTTGATTGCTTTGTTTAGTATTAATTCGCTGTACTAATACTGCATATTAAAGTGTCAGCATATGGAATTGAAAGACTTATAATATTATTGTATTAATTATTGAAAGAGTTGATGTATCAATTAATGTTGTTCTAGTTCAGTTCATTAACTGTTACTTCATCTTCTATTTTCCTGCTTTACTAAGCACCAGATCGTAGTAATTTCTATTCCATATTTTAACGTGAATTCCCTTTTCAGCTGACCTTATTATATTTAATTTGTTTTTTTCTTTTTTTGTTTTGTCACTGTTTTAGGCATGACTGAATTAGAATAGAAATTATCTCAAATAAATTATTTAGAAATCTTAATTTAATTTATAAAAATATGAGAAATTTGCTCACAAAATGTTAATAATAATTAAGTGATTTATTAAAATGATATTATGAAAATTCAATAAAAGTAGTACTTATAACATTTGTGATAGAGCTAGATGATGCATATATATATATAACTTATTATTCAATTATCAATTGGGCTATATATGCAAAAATTGTTTGAGAATATAGTTGAAATTTTGATTATTCACAAAAATTGTTTTATTATTCATAAAACTTAGACAAGGATGCTAAGGAGCACTTATGGAATTGACTTAATGGTATCTCCCAAGCTGAAGTATCACGTAGCCAAGGAAAACTATATTGGTTCAAGCTGAATACGCTTGAGAAAAGACAAAGGCAATCAAGGAAAGTTAAGCTTGAGAACTTCAAGCTTTAAGCATTTCGGCAATGGTTGAATGTCAGGCATAGTAATAGCATTTTTGTTTCACTAGAGTTTCTTTCTTGTGGACTAGTGTTTAACTTGAGAGATACACGTGGCAAGATTTGAGAACAGACTTCAGCCTAGTATAAATACAAGAAGAAGCAAGGGTTCCAGAAACCAAACACTACCAAGCCTTTTTACGTTTCGCTTGTTCTTAGTTTTCTTAGTTTCCTTCTTAGTTTTTAACAGTTTTAAGGCTTGTTTAGTGTATAAGATGATGAATACTATAAAAATTATTATATTATAAATAGAATTAGATTAAATAAATACAAATCTCTTAATTTGTATTTCATTATTTCTATTGTAGTTACCAACAAAGGTGACCCTTAAATTGTTTGATCAGGATCAGATTGCAAAGTTTGTAATCAAAATTTGTCTCAACAGTTTAAAAAAGGTAAAATATACAAATAACTATAAGTATAGCGTCACAATAAGTTTGCAATTTTTATTTTTTTTTGTGTTTCTTCTTCACTTTGTATTCCCTTGCATGAAAATCAGGAAGTTAGATGCATAATAATACCTGGTCTGTTGGAGCTGTTAGAAATAGTAGCTTTAAGATTAGCTGACTTTTTTTGTGTGTTTGTGTTTGTGCGTGGCATGCCTTGTACACAACATGTAGTGCGTGGGTCTGGCACATGCATCCTTGTGAGGTGCACACGTACCCCTTGAGGTACACGGGCTAAGTGTGTGCACCCCTTGGACTAAGGTTGACTCATGATTTTGGTTTTGTTTCAATCATAGTTGACTCATACATGGTTCACTATCTATTTATGAAATAAGCAAAAGAGAGCCCACATTGTGGGTTGCCATGGTTTTTGATATTTTGGATTAAACGTCTTGTGTACATACCATTTAGTTCCCACTAAAAGTAAGCTACAGACTTTAGCACAAAATTTAGTTACAGCTTGAGTGAGAGGTTGGTCACCAAAGAGTATGGAATGGAAGGGTTTTCTTCCCAATTTATTTTGTAAACCTGATGTTTTTTTATATCAATGAAGTTTCTTCATTTGAAACAAAAAAAAAAAGCCTTTTTTTATTGCACAATCGAAGTTTAGTTAAAAATCGTTTTTTTTTTCTAGAGAAACTAACTTTTACTCATAATTTACCCAATCATTCCACCGTCCTACTTGCTTACTCTTTCTTTTCTGTTTTTTTTTTTCTTAAATATTTATTTAGATTATGTTCAATTTTTAGAACATTTGTTACTTCTTTTTCCTTTTTAAAAGTTGGAAAATAATAAGAATAAGTTGAGAAAAGAAAGTTCACCTTTGATTAAGTCCAAAAATCATTTAAAAACTAATATTATAAAGTTGAACATAATTAGACTATGCAATAATAAAATCTTATTCATTATTTACTCACAAATATTAAAATTTCAAATTTCAATTATCCATACATATTATAGTTAATGACTTTAATTTTGTTATCAAATAATATTGTTTTCCAAATGCAAAATAAATGTTACTAAAAAATCAATCAAAAGAAATCTCGATTATTTCTTGTTTATTAGATTAATCTACCTCCAAGCAATTAAAAAAAAAAAACAAATTATGATCCCATCTTTTAAAATTAATCATCAAATTAAAACCCTTGTTATTATTGTTAAGAAGAGTAAAAGAGCGTAAAACCTTTTATACTTAATAACATAAGGGTAAGCACTCACGTCAAGTTCAATGATCCAATAAAGACACTACACATAAGCAACACAAACAACGTCAGAGAGACAGCAGTGAATCGTCGAATACGCTCGACTCCGTCTACTTTTTTTTACCTAGATCGAACGATTACCGCGCGACTCTACGCGCAGTGAAATTGATTATTTTCTATAAAAGGGAACCCCCTACTTTTACTTTCCCGTCAACTCTTCCATTCTATTTTGGTAGTTTCGTGGAAAGATCCTCTTTGCTAGGATCCAATAGCTGCTTGTTCTTATAAGGAGTACGGTTTCTACTATCGCTAGGAAGATATTGAATAATAATTGAGTCCATCGCCGACGGAAGATTTTGATTGCTAGACTTCTTCGACTGTGGAAAGAAACAAACGAATGGCGAAAACCCAGTCTGCCCCGACACCGACGCTACAAAAGAAACTGGTATAGATTAAGAAATTTCATTTGTCTTTTGGAATACCAGTAGTTCTTTGTCCTTTTTATTTTTTGTTTTTTTCTTTTCATGGATTTTCATCAGGAAAGCACATGATTACTGTGTGGTTAAAAGGTTTTCTAAGGCTTTGAGCATCATCCTTCATTTTGATAACCCTTTGATCTTGTTTGATTCAAGGAAATTTTGAAGGAAGAGAAAACGAAGGAATATAAAATAAATTTGCTTATTTTGTTTGGATTTATAATTTCTCTATAATAATTAATTAATAATAACAACTCAAGCCATCTACAAATATGAAATAACAATGAAGATGAGACAATTTTCAAGAAAAATAAAATGCTCATGGCCTCCCACAATCCAACCAAGTTATAACGGAACAAGTTTGGGTTTGAAAGCAGAAACAGAGCACGACGAGCCGGTTAAGTGAAGCCAAGGCTCAAAAAATTTTCCCTTTGCCGTCTTTTACTCAATATTTTTATAGGACAATAAGATAAAAAAAATTATTGTAAGTTTTCCTTAATCTTTTCGTTATTAAAATTTTCCACATAATTTTTCATAACATGACAAAAAATTTTTTTTAGCGTAATATATGTTAAATATTACGTCAATTTGGTATCCCTTTGAGTAGTTACAGTACAGATGTCCAGGGTTGGCCCACCATCCCGTAAAAGTGATTAAAAAAATTTATATGAAATTCTATACGTGGTGTTTATGAAATTTTAAAAAAATAATTTAATAAAATTTTTAAAAATTTTAAATTGATAAATTGATATAATTTAATATAAAATTTAATAATATATAAAAATATTATTTATAATTTAAATTTAATTTAAATTTATTTTAAAATAAAAATTCTGTTAATATTTTTATTAAAATATTTATATCAAAATATATATATAAATTTATTAAATTTTCTTTAAAATGAACACACTTAATTTATATAACAAAAATTTTTAATTTATTGATTTTAATTTTTATTTAATTATTCTTAATTAAAAATATCATAAATTTCACTTAAAAAATTTTATCATCTTTTCTAAAATAACCTTAAGCTAGGCTTAATTCAATTATTTTATTTTTTTCATTATCAATAAATTATATATTAAGATGACTTTTTTCTTTTATTAATAATAAAATAATATATAAATGGATGGATCTAAATAAGTTCGGCCTTGACTTTAGAAACGGTCAGTCCGGTTGGCTGGTCCAAGCCCAACCCAAAAGCTAAAAATGAAAAAGTTATTCTTTTCTATCTTTTACATGAAAAAATTATCGATTTTTATATAATTTTAGGATTTTGACATTGTTGTCGCAAATAAAGATGTTCGATGGTTAGGCCACCCACCTAGTCTCATACACGTGACCAAGTTAGGGCTGTGACTTGAGCATAACTTCTGGATCCTAGGCATAACTCGACGCAAATGTATGAGTTTATTAATAAATAACATATTGATATAGATTTCTTTAATATTTTAAGAATAAAATAATGTAACTAGACAAATCTACAAACTCGGACTTGACTTTAGAAATGGTTAGTCCAATATGTAGGCCCGGTTTAACTCGTTTCGTGAACACCCATCATCTGTAGTGCAAGCTTAAGAATGAAGTCAATGAGGATTTTTATTTTATTATTTACATTCTTTATTTATCATTGATCTCTTTTTGGGCTTTAGAGGAGAAATTAAAGATGAGCAGTAGTTAGTGACATAATAGTAATATAGGTTTTTTTTTTTTTCGCAGAAATCAAAAGATCCCAAAAAGAAACATCGTTGGTGTTGGAAAAGGAAGGTTCTGGTAATATATAGTTGCATTATTTGATTTGCTAACTTTCTTTGCTTTCTATCAATAATCAATCTTGCCTTGATCTAATTCCAGTTGCGTTTACTGCGCTAATTATACCATTTAACAATGAAAAGGAAAAGGAAGTGAAGTGCTTAGAAGCAGTGGTAGCCAAGATGAGAGCAGAACTGAACCACATGGAAAGGGCTGAACGGAAAGCCAAGGCAAGGCTGGGAAAGCTTCAGCGGAGAAACTCAAAAACCAGAGAAGCGAACCGTCAAGCAGCAATGAACGATGCTCGGATCCAACTTTTCATTGATGCTATCCTTCATCATTTGGATGGTAATAGAATTGTTTCTATTAATTATTGAATTTATATTTAATATACTATATTATATGCGTTTTAATAGGCCTAGATGTTGTTTTACTAAGAAGAAAATTTTTAAAAAATTAAAATTTTTGTGTATGTTTTTTAAGAATTTATAAAAATTTATATTTATTCATTAATAAAATATCATTAGCAATTTATACATAAATAATTTATCAAATATAAACTTTTAATTTAATTTATGCATTGAAAAAACATTTATTTTATAGACTTGATTTCTTGTTATTTATTATTACAATTTTAACTCATTGTAAGTAAAAAAAAATTATTTTAAATATTCAAAAATGGATAAATCTAGTTTTTATTAATAAATTTGATATTGATTAAAATTTTCAAACTATAATTAAATCACATCAAAATTTTGTAGAAGTTTTCATGAAATCTAATTAATTGATTAGAACTGTTCAAAAATATTTCAACTATATGATTTTGCTTTTCATTTTATAATTTGCAGATTAAATATTCTTGATGAACATTGCTTGGTTACAAACGATTGCCGTCCATTGACGCCGCCCACAGCGATGTCTGATTGATTTTTATTTACTCTTTTTTTGAACACTAATTTTTTTTGTATTTATTTTTTTGTTATTACGTGAGGTGTAGTATTACTTTGTTCTTTTCAGATTTCTACCGGGGCCGACTTAACACTAATTATAGTTAATTTTGTTAAACATTATGTTAATATTTTATTTTTATCAAATTTTATATCATTGTTGTTTAATTAATATACCTTATAAAACTTAACAACATTAATCAAATAAATAAAATAATTATTATTGACTTAATGATAAACTTATTTACCATTTTAATCATTCTAATTTATGCTTAATGAAATTTATGAGTTTTATTGTTTAAATTAAAGAATAAAACAATTTTTTAAATATAAAAATAATACAATAAAATGTATTTATAATTTTCCTTTTAAAATTAAAAATTCAATCTATAATATATAAAAATATGTATGTCTGCATACAAATAAATGATTAAAATCTAAATTACATCTATATGAGCATGAGAAAATTCAAGTCTAAAATAATTATAAAATAAAAGGATTGAACTCAAATTCACGAAATTACGAACACATAAAATCAATTTTAACGATGAAAAGAAACTTGACCGGACTGCTCCATTATTTGCACCTCTAATTGAAAGTCGTATACAATAACAGCATTTTTGCGTTTATAAATTCGCCTCATAATCGCTTCATTAATAAAGAATTTCTCAAAAAATGATGTGACATGACTTTTAAATCCGCACTCAGCTTACTCGACCGACCCATGCCACTTTCCAACGTAAAGCGCACGATCGTCGCGAGTCGCAATTGTCGGTTGTGCGACAAACTTTTTCAAAAAGACAAATAGAAAAATCTTATCGCTCTCCTACCACGAAACAAAGTCCTCTTCGAAACAGTACTGTTTTTAAACTTGTATAATTTCTTTGAGCATGAAGAATCCCTCGTTGTGCAGAGCTGGTAATAGAAATGAATATCAAGGAACAGTCGAAAATTTGCCCAAACAGGGGAGTGAGTGGTCTAGCGGTAGAGTACTATGAGTGCTCGAAAGGGAAGTTTTCATGGAAGCCAATGTTGAAAAAGAAAACTCGATATCTTCTCACTCTGCTCCCAGACTACTCACTTCTCTGATTTGGGCGATTTTATTTCTGTCCATCACAGACTGTTTCATGTGGTTCATAATTTCTGATGCCAGCTATGCTTGAAACTCCTTTCCCTTCTACTTTTTAATCAGAGTTTAAAGCAGTCAAGGCAGTGCAGAGAGATGTATAAATCAAAACCCAGAAAAATACCATCAACTGAATGCCAAGGATTTGCCAGGACAATTGAAGCACCTCCTCAAACCTAGGCTGTTTCTTCAACTTTCTCGAGCTCCAAACAGGTAAGAGAAAAAATTCGCTCTAGTCTCATATTTCTCTGTTCTCAGGATCCTCTTGGTGTTCATGGAAAGTTTGAGGAAAAGAAAAATGAGGAGGAAGATTGACAGGAAAAGAAAATGAAAGAAGACAAGAAAAATATAATAAAATATGTTTAAATAACAAAAAAAAAAAAAAGAAAATTCAAAGGGTGAGACTACAGGTGTAGTCTAACCAAATCAGTGGATCTATTGCTGAGCTCAAACTCAGTTTGATTTGGGAACTACAGTTTTATTTTTTATATTTGATACTGTTCATAATTATTTAAGCAGCTCGAACTTGATAAGCATAATTGGTAAAATTGTAAATGCATATTTCAAAGATAAAGATTTAATCTTGAGACACGAAACTTGATTTTTACTTGATTGGATTGCATTTTTTATATTTGAGTTATGCTCATAATTTACTTAAGCAGCTGCAGCTTGACAAGCACAATTGGTAAAATAGTAAATATTTACGTTACACGTTATATTTTTCACTTATACGTACATATTTTAAAAATAAAGATTCAATTAAACTTCCGAATCTTTTAAGTTTGGTATAAAATTAAAGTTGTTAATATCGGATAATATTTTATATTTTTTTAAAAATATGATATATTCATATATCAATTGTATTGATATATTATTTTAAAATTTTGGATTTAGTACAAATATATTTATAAATATATATAAATTTATACATTATAATATTATTAATAATTTATAAAATAAATATATAATATATTCAAAAATACTATAAAAATAATATTATAAATTTTTTATGATATTTTTAAATATTTGATTTAATCATATAATATTTAAATAAATATTTTTTATATAAATATTAATATAAAATAAAAAATAAAAATTAATTAAGGTTTTATGATTTATAAACTTTATAAAATGAATATACTTGTTTTCTTAAAAAAATTTAAAATTTTATAAATTTTGGTTTTAAAAAATAAAGTAAAAAAATAAAAAATAAAAAAAATTTTAATTGTTAAGTGGTATTTTATTAATTAATTTTATTTTTATTAAGTTAAAAATAATTAAATAATAAAAAATAAATTAAAAATTATAAAATATATTTCATATTTATGAATTGGTCAAACCATCTTATTTTATCAAAATTTATTTAAATAAGTTGAAATTAATAAAAAATCTATTATTCAATATTAAATTGGATATAAAAAATTATTTTTAGATAAATTGTATTTTAATATAATTGAAATATATCAATAGTACCAAATTCTTTTCGATTTAAAACTTGATTGATTTAAACTTGAGTTCCAATTCAATAAAGAATGACTCAAACTCACGTATTTATTGGAACGAACTCAATATTTCATAAATAACTTAACTTGGATACACACATAAAGGCACTATCTAAAAAATTTTTAAGTCACATAAATATATATATTAGGTTTAACAAAATCTTAGCTCAATGATTAATTTTCAATACTTTTATTCATAAAAATAAAATTAAATACCATCTTCAATAATTAAACTTCATAACTTGAAATTAAGTTAATTTATCCCTTAAACGAAATTGAGATCAATGTGACTAATAATTATAACTTGGAACTAGAATTATACCTGCGTCCATAACCCAAAGTCATTGTGAACAGCACCAAATGCCATATGAATGTTTTTGTTTTTGTTTTTTTCAAAAATTTAAATTCAAAATAATCAAAACCTAAATGAATAAAACTAGAGCTTAGTTTGGATGTCATGTCGAGGAGGTGATAGAATATGATTAAACCAAAAAAGATGTCTAGATCGCAGCTTAAATTCAATTCAATTAAGATTGATCTACAAAATTGAAAGATCCAAATAAAATATTAAATTTAAAACAATTTGAGTCATAGATATACAAACTCAAAATAGTATGAACTTAAAGTGATTTGGGTTTAGATGTAATCCAAATCCCTAAATTTGAGATCAACTAAATTTGAAAACCGAAAAAACTCAAATTTTAATTTAAAAAGACTCAAACTCTATTTAACCAAAAATTTATCAAATTCGAAATTAATAGAATTTAAAATTAATTGTACTTGAAATGATGTATTTAAAATAATTGAACCTAAAAGAATAAAACTAGAGCCCAGTTCGGATGTCATATCAGGTTCCTAGGGATGGGTTAGCTTTTCTCACCTATACATGTTGGTGTCACATTTTTTTTCTTTTTGTTTTATAAATGTACCACTTAATTGAAGACATAAAAATGTTATTTTTTGTAATGATTTAGGTTGCCTGCAATTTAAACAAAATTCATAATATAAATGCAATGCTAGATATCATCATCTATATTTCATTATTTTAATAAATTATCTATACAATTCTATATAAAACGTATTTTGAATGAGATGAGAGCTTAACAGGTGTATTGATATTCATTTTATATTCGTGGGCTTTTTTTGTTGTGGGATTGTTTTAGGTTAAAGCCTTAATTATGGGTAAAATTGAATAGAATTTTTGGTGAATTGTCAGTGAACGTATTTGATTTTTATTTATTTATATTCGTTCATTAAATTAAATAAATAATCTTGAATTATATTTTAAAATTTATTTATTTATTATTTGATAATAATAATAATAATAATATTACATATTTATCCTATACTCTAATATTTTTATTATCTGAACTCTTTCTCACTTTCAACTTTTATTTCTCGACCGGACACATCTCCTAGACCTTTCAAACTTCAATTCTATATCTAGATTGGTAATTGTTTATTATCACTAGATGTCTAACGGCTGTTGAAATATATTAAGATCAAAGATTTGCGTTGTGAAGATCGAAGATTTGTGCTTAGCTCTCTATTTCCTTGCGGAATAGATCCTAAGTGTCGTTATTATTTCGAAGTGTCCCTTGAAAAGCTTGAGATTTCATCAATTTTCAATCCTGTTTTAGGTAGTGTATGCCGATTCCATCAGATCTATGATTTTTGATTTTTTAAAAAACTTTTAGGGTTTTTTTTACGCTTTTATACTATTTTTAAAGCCATTGGGTTGGAATTAAAGAAATCGGTGTTAGCGACGTTGGTTAATATTAGGTAAGATTTTGACATATTCGTTTAGGGATTTCTTAACCTTTGTGTAATTGGATCTGTTTCTTTGGAAAGTTAGGGTTTATTTTACGTTTTTCAACAATAATGGAATGGTAGCAAGTATGGTGAAGGCAGGGGGGATAGAAGCGAAAAATTTATAATTTGATGGTAATTTTGGAAGACATCTATGTTAAAGTTTGTAAATTTTCCTGTAATTTCAAATTGGATTTTTCTAATATGTGTTTGCTAAGAGATGTTAGAGCTGTTAGTTCTGTGTATAGGCGAGAAAACACGCATCATAGTGTACTTCATCCATCAAGTGCAGTAATATCAAGGGTTACAATGAGCACTCCAGTAGAAATGGTTTCTCATTGCATTTCTAGAACCAGCATTGCAGAAGCTAAACTGTTGCATCTTCTTATTGAGATGAGTCCCCTGCGTCTATCAATCTTTGGGCAATTATTTTAAAGTATCTTAAACAGAAAGTTTCTTGGTTCTTTGATTGATCTTTGTAGTGTGAAAGTTGCTGGATGTTTCGTATGATTTCAAATTTTTGTAAAATTTCTTAAATTTATTTTTGTATAGGATTTCATAATTTATAATTAATTGTTTATTTGTTTAGTTTATTTATTGTTTATGAATATAATTTATAATATATTTATGAATATATTTGTGTGTGGATA